TCCAGACCGCATCAGATGCATCAGACTCACCCACGAAGTCCATGGCCACGGTGGTGGTGATGAAGCGGGCATTGTGGCCGATGTCTTCTGGGCTGGCCACAGAACTCCAGCTCTCACTACAGGACCTCCCCTTTGACGGCCTGGCCCTGTTTGTGGAGCAAACAGACACAAAATTACATGGGCTACCCTTCGGTCCCTTGGTGTCTATATGCCAGCCCCTGCTAGAAAGAGGTTCAAGCCACAGCAACCTCATAGACCTCCCAGTCAGGTGAGATCGGAGCCCTATCATAAGAAGGGCAAGGGCTACACATGCCACCAGGGCCACCAATCTGGCTCAGCCTCGCAGTCAGGTTCATCCTGCTTCCCTCGAGGGAACAAGCGGGCATTTTGAGGGTGCGCCCAAAGGCGACATCCCAGTCTGTGAACTGGATCCTCCCCCTCTTTGTTTTGCCAACCACCTTTCTTTTTTCCTCCCCACTTGGACCGCAATAACTACGGACCGGTGGGTCCTCAGCACTGTGGCAGTGGGGTATACCCGGCAGTTTATTTCTACCCTCCCTCCCTCCCCTGTCCCTCTTCAGGGACCCTTCTCACAAGCAGCTGCTCAGACAGGAGGTACAGGCCCTTCTACAAGTCGCGGCTGTGGAGGAAGTCCCTGTTTATCGAAAGGGGAAAGGGGTTCTATTCCCAGTATTTTCTCATTCCGAAGGCCAAAGGCAGTTTCTGCCCCATTCTGGACCAGTGGGACCTCAATAGATATCTCAAGATGTTGAAGTTTTGCATGGTCTCCCTGACCTCCATCATCCCTCCCCTGGATCTGGGAGACTGGTATGCCGCTGTCGATTTGAAGGATGCCTATTTTCGTATATCAATATTCCAAGGGCACAGATGTTTCCTGGTGGGGGCAGCTCACTACCAGTTTATAGTGCTTCCCTTTGGCCTTGCAACGGCCCCAAGGGTGTTCACCAAATGCATGTCCGTGGTGGCCACTTACCTGAGATGTCGGGGTATCCAGATCTACCTGTCCCTCGACGACTGGCTCGTCAAGGCCCGCTCCAAGTCCAGCGCAGTGTCAAAGTGCTGCAGGATTCGTGCCAACCTCTGGGCGTGTTGATAAACGACCAAAAGTCCACGTTCTTCCCGGTCCAGAGGATAGAGTTCATCCACGCGGTGCTAGACTCTACTGACACCAGGGTGTTTCTACCACAGGACAGGTTTGAATCGATGTCAAAGCTAATGACCCACCTCTTCATGCACCAGATCACCACAGGAAGAGTCTGTCAGGCTTCTAGGCCTCATGGCAGCGTGCACCTATGTGGTCCACCAAGCAAGCCTCAAAATGTGGCCCCTCCAGCTGTGGCTGGCAAAGGCCTACTCCCCGTCCAGCGATCACTTGGACAAGGTTGTTGCGATCCCATGCAGCGTATTTACCTCCCTAAAGTGGTGGCCCAACCCAAAGGGGGTGATGGCAGGAGTGCCATTTGCAAATCCTCGGCCCGAGGTCTCGCTGCTATCGGATGCCTCAGACAGGGTGCACATCTCGGGACAATGTGGACCCAAGGAACTTGGTTCCCAGAGGAGTGTGCACTGCACATAAAAGCCAAAGAGCTCAGGGCCATCCGCCTAGCTTGCGGGGTCTTCCTCCCCCAGTTGTCGGGTCAAGCGCTGTGAGTCCTGACAGACAACACAGCCTCCATGTTCTGTGTGGACAAGGGAGCGCATGATTATCGGCTCTTTGTCAGGAAGCCATCCGTCTGTGGGATTTCTGTATCCAGCATGGAATCCACATGAAGGCAGCACATTTCCCTGGCATTCACAACACACTGGCGGACCACCTCAGCAGGTCCTTTTGCTCTCACCATGAATGGGTGCTCCATCTCGAGGTCGCATGGATGATCTTCCGCAGGTGGGGAGCTCCCCGAGTGGACCTGTTTGCCACCAAACGGAACAAGAAATGTCAGTGTTTCTGCTCCCTGCAGAGTCTAGGCGAGGGTGCCCTTTCAGACGCGTTTCTCCTGTCGTGGGCAGAGGCTCTGCTGCATGCTTTCCCGCCAATCCCTCTGTCGTCAGATGTTCGGCTGTGTGTGTTCTCCCTGTGTGCTGTTCCAGCTCTGCACAGATAGCTGGCACAGCAGACCTCGAGCAAACTGCACAATGACCACAAAATCTGTTAAGATGAGAAGGTGCCTGGCCAGGTTTATTGTTGACAAAGCACGGTAATAGCACCTGGCGGACTCTACGAGGATACTAAGACATGTATGCCCATGACAATGGATGCAGCTCAGTCAGTGGTGGGACTTTCCACTGCTCCCTAGGCTGACCAAAGACACTCCCTCTGAGATACATCTTGATACACAGATACAAACAAATTACGTATTGCCCCTGACGTATCAGGGTGCCACCCATTGCCTTGTACGTGTTGATTTGATCAAAACATTTCTATTCATCATGCTGTCATCCTGACCTTATCCTTAAGATGGGCCAGCATTTTCCTGTTATCTTTGGGGAATGTACTGGTATCGAGGTGTTCTGGTACCACCCTCCTGGAATGTGCTTGTGTGAGTGCTTTGTGCCTCGCATCTTTTCGGAATATGTTTCTGCAATATCAGCCCTGTTCTTGCCAGATTCTGTGAGCAGAGCCTGCTTACATGGGCTTATGTTTCAGGCCCTCTTCTTACTATACCCTCTTATCAGCAGAGTCCTGTCAAAGATCAAGAGGGACAAGGTCATGGTTGCCCTAGCGTGGCCTTGTCAACAGTGGTATGGCACACTCATGGACCACTCTGTGGCCACTGCCCAAACGCCCGGATCTCCTGTCCCAGGACCACGGTCGGCTCCTGCACCCGAACCTTGCCCCGCTTCACCTTTTGGCTTGGCTGCTGCGTGGCTAAACCCAGAGGGGTGGGCCTGCTCCAGTCAGGTGCAGCAGATTCTCTTGGAAAGTAGGAAGCCCTTAACTAGAGCTACATACCTGGCTAAATGGAAGTGGTTCTCCTGCTGGGCGGCGGAGCGGGGTATCTGTCCAACCCAGTCGTCTCCCCAATCCACCCTGGATTACCTGCTCCAGTTGAAGAATCAGAGCCTCGCTTTCTCCTCCATCAATGTCCTTTTGGTGGCCATATCGGCGTTCCACCCACATGTTCAAGGTCAGTCAGTGTTTTCACATGACATGACGGTCAGGTTCCTGAAGTGCCTGGAAAGGCTTTTTCCACCGATCAGAGACCTTGTTCCCCAATGGGATCTCAACCTGGTCCTCTTGAGGCTCACTGACCTTCCCTTTGAGCCTTTGGCCTCATGCTCCCTCTCTCATCTCTCATGGATGTTGGCTTTTCTGGTGGTCACCTCCTCAGCGAGGAGGGTCTCTGAACTGAGGGCCATCATGTTGGAGCCACCATATGCCATCTTTTACAAAGACAAGGTACAACTGCGGCCCCATCTGGCTTTTCTGCCCAAGGTGGTGTCCTCCTTTCTTGTCAACCAGGACATCTTCCTCCCGGTGTTCTGCCCCAAACCGCACTCCTCTAGCGAGGAGAGGCGGCTACACGCGTTGGTTGTTTGACGCGTGTTGGCTTTCTATCTGAAGCACACCAAACCATTCCGCAGATCGACTCAGCTCTTCGTAGCAACAGCGGAAAGAATGAAAGGCCTTCCTCTGTCCTCTCAGACGATCTCAAACTGAATCACCTCCTTGCATCCGTACCTGCTATGAGATGGCTCAGACCCAGCCGCCGTTGATTGTGAAACCCACTCGACCAGAGCGCAGGGATCCTCGGCGGACTTCCTAGCCCATGTCCCTATCCAGGACATCTGCAGGCCGTGACGTGGTCTTCGGTGCACACGTTTACCATGCATTATGCCATCACCCAGCAGGCCAGAGATGACGCTGGGTTCAGCAGGGCTGTGTTGCAGTCTGTACGTCCATGAACTCCTACCTGTCTCTGGTGGTACTGCTTGGGAGTCGCCTAAAATGGAATGGACATGAGCAAGCACTCGAAGAAGAAAAGAGTTACCTTTTTTCGTAGGTGGTGTTCTTTGAGATGTGTTGCTTATGTCCGTTCCATGACCCGCCCTCCTTTTCCCACTGTTGGAGTTCCCAGCAAGAAGAAACTGAGGGTGAGAGGAGCTGGCGGCACCCCTTATACCGCAGCATATGCGCACCACTCCAGAGATTGCCAGAGCCGATCCCCTACGGATACTACTGAGGGAAAATCTTCCAGCACTGGTGCATGTGGCAAGCGCACATACCTAGAATGGAATGGACATGAGCAACATATCTCGAAGAACACCAGTTACAAAAAATGTAACGGTCTTTTCTTCCCCCAACTTTAATGTTGTATCTCTTTTTCCCCCTTCTTCTCTCCTCTTCCCCTCCTCCTTCCCCCCCACACACTGTCTTGTCCAAAGCTGGAAAAGTAAACACCAACTCACAGGGTTGGTTCAGAATTCAGCAACAGAACTAACACTTTTTCCCCCCACTAAGGAGGATTGTTTGAGACTAACGATATCATCTCTGTAAAAGGGACTTCAGTAAGTTTTGTTTGTTTTGCGTAATCGTTCAATTTCAAAATGCCGCCTTTATCCTTTTTCTTTTGCATATCCTATTTTTTATGTTTCTGAACTCTCCAGCCTTTGGCATGAATTTTCTAGCAGGTTTGCCATAGGACTATGCAGGCCAAGATCTCTATACTCAAAAATCCAAAGAATGGATAATTTGTTAGTGTTTTGCCATGACCCTGACTCAGTAAGTCCACTAATTCTATTTAAATCAACACAGTGAGGTGAAAGTTGTGCCCATTTTTTACCCACCTGTGCAGAATGAGGGGTGCTAACCTCCCTGTGGCAGCCTTTCTCCTTGCACTGAAACCCATGATATGTTTAGCCTACACTGGCTAGTAAGCGGGTTCCTTATGCCTTCCTGCTCACTTTTATGACAAGGATTTGGCCCTAAATGGATACTGTGGATATGTGACAACAGGTATCTAATCTGATTAATTATTTAGGCCATCAGGAGCAAGCTGGCTCATATTGAACCCTATAAAGGAGGAAATGAATGGAGTAGAGAAGCAAAGGAAAGATTTGAAGAAATGACTCAAGATAAATTTATGCTGTGCTCAGTCATTAGTAAGTTATCAATAGTGTGTCTATTACATAACTAATATTGTTAAATTAAAAATAATACTTGTGCATATTCAGATCATCACATATCAAATAAAGTAAATACTTTCATATGTTAAATGAGGTAAATCCACTCTGTTATGATTACTCCCCCTCAAGTTTGCTGATAGATCTGCCCTTTTACCAAAGTACATTCATATTTGCAGTAAGTAACGTGATTGGCTGAGAGTTTCCAAATGTAACGTAATTGGAATGAAACTTTATAGACTTGAAAGCCAAATTATAACACCATTTATGCCTTCAGTTCCATGTGGACAATGTGAGTGTTAACTGGTGTAAACACTGGTTTGCATTAATGTGTAGGGTTTGATTTCAGAGATGCTTAGTATTCATGGCTTCCACTATCCACAGTAGGAAGTTCGGGTGAACAGCTCCTCTGAAACAGGCCAACACTACGTGCTGCTGAATTTCACATCATGTCTGTTCCGTGGGATTTTTACCATTATTGGTTTTTGCTAAGTGTAACTTTATTTATGTGAGATAGGAATTCTTATATAAGTCAATACCAAAAAATTAATTTGGAAACTGCCTAATAATTGAAGCTTTGAGCAATAGTTGGCTGTTTGGCCATAATGTTGTTGAGGTGTAGAAACCACCAAAAAAAAATCCTTAATGGATATGGTTATAAAGTTGGGACTGTCTAAAGAATTTGCATTAAAACTGGATGTGTTTTTTATTTTGCAGATCAGACCTTGGTAGATTTTAATTTTTCAGTCTTCTACCTGCCTCTACCCAACTGTACACCCTCTCTCACCCCTCAGACAACTAACTTTCTCAGTGTTGTAGTTACTGGGCACTTTTTAAATTAAGCTTTATCTTTATCTGTTTTGGAGGTATATCACAAGATAATGTTCTGTCAGTTGAACTCTTTGACTCCCCAGATGTTCTTGGAAAAAGATCCGCTAGTCTGAACAGTCAGCTAGTTAAAGAAGAGCTAGCATCTTACGTGCTAGGGCAAGTATTCTGTTTATAATCTGTGGGTGGGGGGGGGGGGGGGCGCGGAGGGATTGAAATTGTCTGAGTCTGGATTTTCCAACTAAGATTGATGACGTTGTCCATATGTTAATAAAACACTATTGTTAAGGAAAAATGCAACAGGTAGCTATAAAAAATTTATACTTTTTCATGAGTGTTTTTGAATAGTCTTTAACTAGACGAAAAATAGCTGGCTAAGGTATCGGAGGTAAAAGTTAACTATATTGGTGTTTCATCCTAGTATTAAATGCTAACTGAATTAAGATCATTTAAATACGTTATAAAGTCTCAATTTTCTTGGTAAAAACATAAATAATTATAAGAAAGCCACTGAACAAAAATGTTTTCTAATAGAAATAGACATTTTAGTTACCTCTTGGGGAAGTGACTAGATGGATTGTCATCTGCCAGGGTATAAGTGTATCTATAGATCATAGAAGAGTAAACATTTTCTGTATAGTGGCCACATTTGTTAATTTGTGTTACATAAGTTAGGCACCTAAATTGACTTAATTAAACTTCACACAACAAAGTGATTTACATTTTTTTTTTTTGTCATTTGACTATTTACTGCTGCTGTAGTTCAGCAAGTGGACATGCTCCCTGGAATTTGCTGTGAAGTTACATATTAAATTGTAATATATTACTGTGACAGTGGTTGCTGCAGGGGCCAAGTGGAGACTGCTGAATCAGGGCAAACTTGAAAGAATGGGGCAGACGATCCCCAGAACTGGTGGTTTATTCTAATAATTAGATTCACTAAGCCAGTAACAAAACCGCTTCTATAGTACCTTACTGGTTACCAAGAAGTGAAAAATACAGCTGTCGTTAAGCAATCCAGTCCTGGGCTACCACCAGACAACCAAGGCAAATATGGTGAGAATTACTTAAAATCTTATTCACCATATATAAAATTGTACCAATCCCAAGAGATCAGACACATTACCCATCAGTTCAATGAATATTTTAGATCTTAACCAAATACACGCTTACAGCCAATACTTATGAACTAGTCTAAGATTTAAAAAAAAGAGAGTACTGTGGTTAAAGATCATTATACATACAGGAATTAATAAAGTTTTTAGGTCAGTTTCATTGGAGAGATGGCGAGGTTGCTGAGTTATGAAAGTCTTTCTGGAATCAATTTAAAAGTTATAGTCCAATAGGCAGTCCATGTGTAGAGTTTGTTCAGATTCTTCCATGAGAATTAGCAGGGACAATCCAAGGTACTTGGAGTCCTCAGTCTTGCAAGTTGAACTTCCCCTGACAAAGTTTAATGAGATCTGTGGTTGTAAGGATCAGGCCCGAAGTTTCCTTTATAGTTCTCTAGTGGGCTAATAGTCACTCACAGCAGGCATTCCTTTGATGAAGAATAGGTAATGCCCATTGTTGCTTTGAAGTAAAGTCCCTAGTCCCTATTTCCTAGCTGCACTTACTAGCATATGGTAATTAACCATTCAAGCAGTTCATTGATAGTTTACTACAAACTTCAAAGAGAAATAAAGACAATGATATTATAACATCACACATTCAATCTAATTGCTATATTCCCTTTTGATCCCTGAATCAATAGAATATAGTAACAGACAGGAACAGAAGTTTGTCATCTACAAGCTAATGAGATCACATTGTTAACTTCTGACAGATTTAGGTAAACACAGACAAATACAATTTGTATTTACTTCTGATTCTCTAACAATATAGGTTTATATTTCAAAGTTCTAATCTATCTAACATGGCTTTGTTAGCTATTTACAAGAAATGGCCCTGTTTACCATTTCAATACTTTTCTTATGTCCTTAAAGGTTGATTTTTAGGTCACTTAGCCTGCTGGTTGTTTAACACTTGCTCAGTGTCCCAATTACCTACCAAAAAGCAAGATAGCAATATGGCCATTTTTTCTTCCCTCCTTTTCCATTTGAATGCTTCACTTGATTTTTGTCTCTTTAGCTGGCATTGTTTCCCTAGCATGTATAAACCTTATTAACTGTAACCTATTATTTATGCAGCTCATTTGTCCTAATTTTTCCATTCTGACTGGAATTTCCATTAGTAAAGATAAATGTATGTAATAAAAAACCAATGGCGAATGATGCGCCAAAAAAAAAAAGTTCACCAACCTGAAGATCCTGCATGTTCAGACATGTTCTTTTCATCATCTTCAACGCAGCTTCCTCCAACCAGGCCTTGCATTTCTTTGTTGCACTGTTTGCATTTTGCACGCATGCCTGTCTTACCCACAGGTAGAGGAACTTCATTAAAATATTCCCAAACAGGGTCTCTTTTACGGCCTGCTGCCATTATATGTTTTCCCTTTTAGTGAGAGAATGGTATGGTAGATCTCAAATCAATGAAGGCAACTCTCAGAAAGACCTCAAGACTTCTGGAAAATTTCACTTTTGTTTCTACTGCCTGTCCCTCCCTTCTCACATTTATCTCCAGACTTCTTCTATTTGTCCAGTTCTATTCCGCCCCCAACAATCTTCTATTCATTGAACTTTTTGAAACTTTGCACTTTGAGAGAGAGATAAGGGATTGAGTCTGTGTACACAAATTTGCAGAGGGACAGTAGGGTTGAGGTCTGGTATTCCTCACCTCTATCTATCTATCTATCTATCTATCTTTATTTATAAACATTTTTGCTGTTAACAAGCATGTTATCTCTGGAGACAGTTTGAGAACTGCAAAACTAAGCATCTCTGATGGTATCTTCTAGACTGACCGCTGAGTCTCATTGGGTAGATAGAAAGATTAACCTAAATAATCTATATAGAATCCCCTGGAACCCAATAAGATTGGGTCCCTAATCCATGAACTATTGGAACTCATTTACAAAACTGTTCTTAAACATTAAATGACTATATTGTCTCATACTATAGAATTAGAATTTATAATCCCTACTCCATGATGAGATAACTTTGCGCTATAATGTATCTTAATTAAAGCTATATTTAGATAGGTTTTTTCCTCAAAAAGCATTTTATCAAAAAAATCTGATTTAAATGAAAAAATCAGATTTTTTTTCATTTTTTTTAAATCATTGATTTTTATCCACCCTGATTTGTTACTTGGGAGAAACTCTGGCCTGGATTCTGCAAACACTTAGACATATGTTTAATTTTATATACTGTGAATAGTGCAATTAACTTCTTCTTTGAGTGCTTGCTTATGTCCATTCATGCTGCATGCACAGTTGCCAGAGGTTTTTCCCATAGTGGTATCTGTAGAACCGGTTCTAGCGTGTGTATGTGCTGGTATAAGGGGTGCCACCAGTTCCACACCCTCTCAGTTCCTTCTTACCGTGCTTGACAGTTGCTTGGAACAATCCTTCTTGCTCTTAAAAGGCTTCTTTCCCAGTGGTTTGGATTTTGTAGTATATTGTATAGTTTTTGTAATTAGTATATATAGTTCTTGGTGTTAGTGTATATAGGGTGAATAGTGGTCCCTGTTATCGAGGGACTTTCGTCGTAGGGGCTGGGCATGCCCCGGTCCCCGGGCTTCAAGCCGTGTGCTTCCTGTGGCAAGCCCATGCCAGTGCGTGACCCATACTCTAGTTGTGTAAAGTGCTTCGGGGAAACTCACATTAAGGAGAAGTGCCAGATCTGCAGGGGCTTCAGATCGTGCACTTAAAAAGAAAGAGATATTTGTCTGAAGGCCTTACTAATGGAGGCAGTCCTCAGACCGGCCTCAGAGCCAAGCTTCTCCGAATCAGCACCAAGGACTTCGGCTTCCGAGCAAAGTGCTCCACCAGCACCGTGCTCTTCCTAGCACCATTCTCCATTGCTGGTGCCAAGGAACAAGCGTAAGAAACAGCACACCAAGAGATGGTGCTCTCCAATGCCGAAGAGGGAAACGCAGAGAGTGACTAGCACAGTGAGACCCACGCCGGGGCACTCATCATCCCCAAAACCCCTGTTGGCTCTGGCGACTCCGACTAAAGCACCAAGTCCAGTCCAGGACCCACCTCCAACTCCCAGGAGCAGTCGTGGGCCCCTTTGACTCCAGAGGCTTTCCAGGCAGCAAAGGATTTGATGTCCCTCTTAATTCCCCTCCCCCCCCAAGGCTCCCCGCTAGCCAGGGCTATTGGGGAAAGTAGAGGCAGTGAGCTCCATCGTGGCACTGACCATCACAGCACCGTCTGGAGGAAAATCCTCCATGGTCCCAGGCCCGTCATCGGTCACTGGTTCTCTGGCACCGCCTGGAGGCGGAAACGGTTACAGCGCCTCCATGGTCTCAGAGGGAAGAATACTCTTCGGAGTCCAAAAGGGAATCCTTTGCCCCACTGAAGGAAGTACTGGTACCTAATCTACAGACAGGACTTTTGTACTGGCCCTCCAATCGCCGCTTGGTCACCGGGCCACTGGCCAATGCAGTGGCAGTATTGGAACTTGTGAGGGTTTTCCCCAGTAATAGGGCCCCCTTTTCACTCTTCATACTCAGTGGTGTCCAAGAGGCGAGCCAATGTTTCATCCCGTTCAGCACTGGATCTTGACTCCAGTACTGACCCCGATACCGAGGTCCCAGAAGTGGCCCCAATGGAAGTGGTGAAGGAAGAAGCAGCAGCCCCTCCTCCAGCACTAGCCTCTTCCTCGTCATCCCCGGACGAGGCAGTCTCAGACCTTAGTAACCCGCTTCCACCGGATGATTTCAGGGCCCATCAAGAGCTCCTGAAACAGGTTGCTACAAACTTGGGGCTGGAAGCTGAGGAGCTGAAGGAGTCTGCACACAGCTCAGTTAATATCCTAGCTGCAGCGACTCTCTCCACAGTGGCCCTGCCAGTTAATGAGGCGGTGTTGGGACCTGCCCAGGCACTAGGGCAGACCCCTTCATCTCTGCAGGAGTCCTACAAAAAAAAGGAAAGAGCTGTAAACGTCATCATCCCCTACCTTCTGCCTCAGCTTCCCAGTCGGGGTCACATAGATACTCCAAGGCCAGGCAGGCCTTTTGAAGGTATGCCTGAGGACGGCATACCAATCTTG